CTCAGGAGGGACCTGGATGATTTATTTTTATTAAGCATCAGAAAAGAAGCCTTTGAAAGAAGACAGTTGCGCTCTCGAAAACCACAACTGAGTGACATCCTGCCACTATGGGGGGCTGTTGAACACAGTTTGCAGCACCAGGTCCTTTGGGGAAAACTGGGTTTGGGACCAAGTAGGAAAGGGATGGGGAGAAGGAAGGGGTTGAACAGGTGGACAAAAGAAAAGGAAAATGCCTCCTGATTGTGAGCAACAGATGCGTACAAAGTCTTGCTGATGGATGCAGAGGAGGACTTCTTCCATTTGGTATCATTCATTTTACAAACCCTGTCCTTGATCTCACCAAACCACTGTTTGGCCAGACCAGCCTGGGTCCCAGTCCCCAACTTTCAACCACCTGCTTGTGTTAAGAGCTATCAAAATCTTTGCAATATTGGGTTGCTGTGAGTTTTCCAGGCTGTATGGCCATGTTCCAGAAGTATTATCTCCTGACGTTTCATCCACATCTATGTCGGGCATCCTCAGAAGTTGTGAGGTCTGCTGGAAACTAGACAATTATTATATATATATCTGTGGAATGTCCCGGGTGGGAGAAAGAACTCTTGTCTGTTGGAAGGATTCTCCCATGCAGGAAGCAGCCAGGCTTTGAAGCTGCAAGGCCATTCAATGCTGATCAAGCTGGCCAATTGCAACATTCACCCTTGCCTCCAACAGACAAGAATTCTTTCTCCCACTCTGGACATTATTCCAGATAAATAAACCCCACTTGCCTAGTTTCCAACAGACCTCACACTTCTGAGGATGCCTGCCATAGATGTGGGCGAAATGTCAGGAAAGAACGCTTCTGAAACAGGGCCATACAACCCAGAAAACTCACAGCAACCCAGTGATTCCACCCATGAAAGCCTTCGACAACAATTTGCAATATTATTTGTCCATCCTGCCGAAGTTGCCAAGTTGTTTTTAGGGGATGCCTATCAAGTCTTGGGGGCTGCATTGGCGCAGCTGGTTAAACCGCTAAGCTGCAGAAATTGCTGACCAGAAGGCTGGCATTTGAATCTGTGGAACGGAGTGTGCTCCCGCTGTTAGCCCCAGATTCTGCCAACCTAGCAGTTTGAAAACATGCAAATGTGAGTAGATCAATAGGTACCATTTTGGTGGGAAGGTAACGGCGCTCCAGGCAGTCATGCCGGCCACATAACCTTGGAGGCATCTATGGACATCGCCGGCTCTTTGGCTTAGAAATGGAGATGAGCACCATCTCCCAGAGTTGGACATGACTAAACTTAATGTCAAAAGGAAACCTTTACCTATCAAGGCTTAGGGATTTCAAGTCCCCAAGAAGCTGAATCCCAAACCCAATTCCAGATTAGTAAAATGGCATCCTGTATCCTGCCAACCATGCCTTTCACAAGTTAGTGAGCTAAAGTGTGTGAGAGAGGGTGAGGTGACTGTATTTTTGGGGGGAGGGGGCTGTTGTACGTACAATGCAATGAAGAAATCAGCTGTCATCACCCTGCAAGTCAAAATGGAGGCTGCAATCAAACCCTTCCCAACAACAATGTCATGAATTGTGCTGTTAATACAATTTTGCTGCCTCCCCCACTGCCACCGCCCCTTGGCTGGGCCCAAAATACAGAGGCAGGCAGGACTGGCTCCTCTGTGCCACATCTGTGTGAACAATATCTGAAAGATTTACTATGTTTCTTCCCATAATTAGAGACCCACAAGCCCCGGCTCCCTTGATCAAAATACTTGCTGAGGCATCACACTTTCCTTCTGCTTTTTCTCCACTGGAAGTTTGCATTGACAGAAGCCATTCAGAAAGGAAGAAGAAAGAAATCTGAAAAAGTGTTGAATCAGGCACTCCTACTTGGCTTCTGAAGCCTCTGACAACAAATGTGTTTGTCCACCTGTATTTATAGGTATAGAGCTTTCCTTGCCGGGGAAAGGGGTGTCTGAGAAGAACTGAGGAATTGGGGAAAAGCGGGTAAGGTGGTTCCAAAGCACTGGCTATAGAAGTCTCTGGACACAATTTAATGGGGTTTGGGGAGATACTCAAGCTTGCCTGAATTCACCCAGGTGAATGGAATTTCTGTTATTCCAAAATGTCTGGGAAAGCTATTTGCATCTCTGCAGTAACACTGTCTCTCTGGGTAAGCTCTCTGGCAATTGGGGAGCGCCACAAAGTCAGCACCGTAAAATAGAATGCGTCCTAAGGCAAAAGGGAATCAAATGGATTTCCTAAGCAGAAACTTAGGCAGAAACAGGCCCAGAAGCCAAGGCCCTGTGCCAAGCCAACAAAAGCATCTCAACTGCTCTGGTGGGCGCTCTGGGGAAAGCTCTAGGGACTTGTGAGATAGATCTATGCCTCCCTCCTCTTCTGCTGAGGTCAAATGGGAAAGAACTAATAGAAAGAGGTATCAGATCCTCCTTTAGGTGCATGCGTAAATAGTACAACCACTTCCATAGGCTGGAGTTACACAAGTGTAGCAGAAAAAACCAGCAGAGCGTAGCATTTTTAGCACTAGATCCATCCTAGAAACCCACTAGGGACCTTGAGCAAGTCACTCTCTCAGCCTCAGAGGAAGGCAATGGCAAATCTCCATCAAATGAATAAAGGAGTGCAGTGGAGATATATTTAGGTTGCTTAAGTCAGTTGCACTAATTGAGGAAAAATATTTTGATCAGCATAACAACACCGAAGCAACACAAACACACTATTCACCTCCCCTTTCTCTTCTGATCTGGGAACAAGCATCACTCACCTGTTTGCAAGGTCAAGTCTGCAGCCATGGGGACTAGCAAGCTGTATTCCCTTAGGATCCTGATTTTCAACAATCTGGGCTGGCAAGTGGCTGGGAAGCGTTGAACAGCCCCTGTCCTGCTCGCTTCGCTAGCATCCATTTGCTAAATGCACCCAGGTACCATTCACAGTGAGAAAAACATGGGAAGTATGGCCATAGACCCTGCAAGTTTCCCCACCCACCTCTGAGCAATCGCTTCTGAATCCCATTGTCTGCCCCTTTGCTGTGCAGGGAGTTCAGTCATCTTAGTTAACTCGCCGTCAAAGAGACAAGCGCGGATCACTGCAGCGTTATTACAAGGCGCGAGCAAATGTATTCCTTTTTTATTGTCAAGACAGATTTGGCTCAGGCACTGAAATCCAGCGATAGCAAAAGATGTTTCCACTTGTCGGTTGCGCTTGCACTTCAAAAAGGAATATGGGGGACGGCGGCTCACCGCCAGGCCTCCCTGCAGCGCCGGTTGCTGAGCGGCAAGGCCAACGCAAGGGAGCCAAGGAGAGTGGCAGAACTGCCGTGACTTGGTGCGGAAATCCATTCATCTACACCAAGTTTCTATACAGAGATTCAGAGCCTGGGCATGAAGCATGTCATATTCCAAACAGGGCTGAAAGCTTGAGCTCAAACAGGACCCCTTTTTCAAGAACTCAAGTGTTTTTAATATAAGTGGATATTGGAACAGCAGGCATAAACTGAGAAGAGACATTCCCAACCTGTACACACACAATTCGGAATGCCTCATTCAAACCAGGGTCGTTAAGCAGGAAGCAATTCTGGGGTGTTAGAAACATCCTGATTTTAACCTTCTATGCTAGGCTATCACACATTCATTGGAATTCAGGAAAGTTTTCTTGGAATTCAGGAAAGTTTTCTCAGAACTTTGAAGCAAATAAGCATATGGTATGCTCTTTCCATCTAAATAGCCTGTTGATCCACACATTGGTGATGGCATGTCTTGTGCCACCATTGTACTGTGGCACATTTGTTATGCCCAGTGCATTTGCCATTTATTTTATTTATTTATTTGTCGTGTCAGGACAACCAGTCAAATTATATTACATTTCTAACAGAACAAAGCAAACAAATAGACAAAATACAAAATTTGTGAGTTTGGAAGTTGATTAAATGTCCTCTGACCGTTTGTCATTGATAAGGGAGCTGGACAGTTGAAAAAAAAAAGTGCCAGAGCTGAAGAGCCCCAATCAAAACTGGAACTGGTTGAGATGCATAGTCCCCTGATAAAGACCACCATCCGGAATCCTGTGAACTAGCCTCATCCAATCAGACACCTTACAAATGGGTCGCTGAGAGTTTTCCGGGCTGTGTGATCATACCAGAGCACTTGATGAACAAGCCTGGACACAGCATATTGTTTGAGGACACAGAAATGCTGGACCACTCTGACAACCACCATGTCAGACTCCAAAGAGGAGCCATTGAAAAACACAATCATGTGGACAATTTCAACAGAAAGGAGAAAACCATGAAAATGATCAAAATCTGACTACCAGTATTAAAAAAAACCCTTCAAAATCAGGACAGTAAATAAAGAGGAACACTCAGAAAACAGGGGAATTCCAGACAGGAAACAATCAGGGACAGCTAACACCTCCCAACAAAGGATTCCCCCAGGCAGGAAGCAGCCAGGCTTTGAAGCTGCAAGGCTATTCTGTGCTAATCAAGATGGCCAATGGCAACATTCACACTTGCCTCAAGCAGACAAGAGTTTTCCCATCCTGGACATTTTTTCACAGATATATAAACCTCACTTGCCTAGTTTCCAACAGACCTCACAATCTTTGAGGATGCCTGCCACAGATGTGGGCAAAACGTCAGGAGAGAATGTTTCTGGTCCATGGCCATACACCCGGAACACTCCCAGCAACCCAGTGATTCCGGCCATTAAAGCGTTTGACAATACACCTTACAAATGTTCTGGACTGCAGCTCCCATCATCCCCTAGCGATGGAATCTGAGCCACCTGGAGGACACCAGGGTGTTCCACTGCTGTTATATAAAGAGGATGAAAACAGGATGTCTTGGTCCATGCAGAACACTCTGGAACAGGTACTCAGGCATCCTGTTTCTCTCAAGGTCCTCCCAAGGCAAAGCCTGATGGAGGATTGCTACCAGACACCAAGAGGAAAGATTTCACCCGTTGAGCGGCCATTCGGCCACAGCTGCAGAGGCCTTCCATACCTGGCACTTCAATTAATTGCTTGTAAACGTTCAGGAACGCAGCCTCGGCTTCTTTGCTCCTTTTGCTCAGCGCAACCACCTGCGGGGAAACAGAAGCACAAAAGGACAATGCAGGCACCGTCGAGGAAAAAGATGCTCCCTTAAGTAAAGCCACAGTGAGGACGTCACCGTTCTAGGAATACGAGAGGTTATCCCAGGGCAGGGATACATGCGCCACTCACCAAGGACAGGTGACAGGGCAGCGCCACGCGGGAGGAACACCAAAACGGCACCAAGCAACAAAAGAAAGGACATTATCGGCCTGCTTGGGAATATCTCTTAAGTCTGCTGGCCTTTTCCCTTTAGAAATAGTCCAATGACCGTCAGAGTTCTCCTCAGCCACTTCAAAGGATTTTAGTTTTCGGGGGCAGCGAAGATTCATTTGGGAGGTATTTAGCATCTTTACAATTGCACAGTTTATAGCTATTTGACATCAACTTAACTGCTTTAGCTCAGGCATGGGCAAACTTGGGCCCTCCCTCCAGGTGTTTTGGACTTCAACTCCCACAATTCCTAACAGCCTCAGGTCCCTTCCTTTCCCCCCCCCCCCTGCCGCTTAAACATGATCAATGTTTGCCATGAAGCCCTCACCCTAAAGCAGGCATGGTCAAATTTGGACCCTCCCTCCAGGTGTTTTGAACTACAACTCCCACAGTTCCTAACAGCCTTGGGCCCTTTCCTTTTCCCCTCAGCGGCTTAAGTGGCTGAGAGGGAAAAGGAAAGGGACCAAGGCTGTTAGGAATTGTGGGAGTTGTAGTCCAAAGCACCCGGAGGGAGGTCTCAAGTTTGCCCATGTCTGCTCTAGCTCCATAATACAGAATCTCTTCCCCTCACCAAATCCCCATTGGATGCCTTGTACAGTGAGGAAAGGTGCAAACTTGGGACCGCTTGCCATGCTGTGCCCAGTGCCATGTTCAAGTTCGGCCCATTGCCTTGGGCAAAATCTTCAACGCTCCTGAAATGTCACGCCATCATCAATCTTTGATGCACTCTGAGTAAATGAAATTTATAATTTAATGCCAGGGTTTAAATAAAAAATCATATGGTGCCCTTTTGTTTCAACATTCGGGGCGGGGGTCTGAAGGCAGCAGATGCTAACATCTTGCATGTGTTTTACCATCTGAAATACAGATACATTGCCCTTTCTTCAATCACTTTATGGAATGCTCTGCCAGAAGAGGTGCAGACTACTACAAACAAACTGAGCTAGAGATAGACAAATCTTTTCAAAACAGAGTTCAGTTGAATGTAAATATGGAGAACTTGGAAGTAACTACTAAGCCACCCTCAATCTCATCGAAGAACTATAGCTGGTCCCAAGAAAGGTTTCAATCACTTTCGGTCAGGAGTCCCCGGTGGTACAATGGGTTAAACCCTTGCACCGGCAGGACTGAAGACTGACAGATTGGAGGTTTGAATTCAGGGAGAGCATGAATGAGCTCCCTCTGTCAGCTCCAGCTCCCCATGTGGGGACATGAGAGAAGCCTCCCACAAGGATGGTAACACATCAAAACATTCGGGCGTCCCCTGAGCAACATTCTTGTAGACAGCCAATATTCCCACACCAGAAGCAACTTGCAGTTTCTCAAGTTGCTCCTGACACACACACACACACACACACACACAAACTTTGGGTCGAAGATTTGGTTTGGTCCTCATGGATCATAATAGCTACCTTTGTTTTCGTGAAAGCTTTCTCTCTAAGGGCCCTTCTAGGCAAGCCCTATATCCCAGGATCTGATCCCAGGTTTTCTGTTTATCCCAGATTATATAGCAGTGCGAACTCATATAATCCAGTTTAAAGTGCAAAACCTGGGATTGGATCCTGGGATATAGGGCCTGTCTGGAAGGGCCCTAAGATGCAATTTAAGGGGAGGGGATGGTTTGAACCATAACTAACTAATGATTAAAGTAACTTCCCAAGCTCTGTTCTAAATGGTGCTTGGACAGGACGATGCAGGAAAACCATGGCCTTCAAGCCTATTAGCATGTTTTTCTGAAACCGAAGTTGGCTGCAGAAGTATAGAGGATAGACATTTCAGCACAAGGAATGGAAAAAGCTCTCAACTCTCCTTGACAATTGAAAACATCTTGCTAGCAATTCACTTTTGCAAAAGAGTTTCGCCCCACCCATCCACCTCCTGCTAAGGGCAGAATGGTATCAATGAAACGGTAATGTTGGCATGGGGTTGCTGTGAGTTTTCCGGACTGACTGGCCATGTTCCAGAAGCATTCTCTCCTGATGTTTCTCCCACATCTATGGCAGGCATCCTCAGAGGTTGTGAGGTCTGTTGCAAACTAGGCAAGTGGGGTTTATATCCCTGTGGAACAATGTCCAGGATGAGAGAAAGAACGCCTGTCTGTTGGAAGCAAGTATGAATGTTGCCATTGGCCAACTTGATTAGCATTGAGTAGCCTTGCAGCTTCAAAGTCTGGCTGCTTCCTGCCTGGGGGGATCCTATGTTTCGATACCATCGATCATGCTATCCTTCTGGGACAGCTCTCTGGGATGGGTCTCAGGGGCACGGTTTTGTCCTGGCTCTGGTCCTTCCTGGAGGGCTGATCCCAGATGGTGAAGCTGGGAGATGCCTGCTCGGATCCCTGGCCTTTGACCTGTGGGGTCCCGCAAGGCTCTATTCTATCTCCCATGCTTTTTAACATTTACATGAAACCGCTGGGAGAGGTCATCCGGAGTTTTGGAGTTACGTGCCATCTCTACGCAGATGACACACAACTCTATTACTCTTTTCCACCTAATTCCAAGGAAGCCCCTTGAGTGCTGGACGAGTGCCTGGCCGCTGTGGCTGTCTGGATGAGGAGGAACAAGCTGAAGATCAATCCCGACAAGACAGAGGTCCTCCTGGTCGATCGAAAACCGGATCGGGGTATAGGGTGGCAACCTGTGCTGGACGGGGTTACACTCCCCCTGAAGTCACAGGTCCATTAGTTTGGGAGTCCTCTTGGATTCATCACTTACACTTGAGGCTCAGACGTCGGTGGTGTCCGGGAGGGCTTTTGCACAACTGAGACTTGTGCGCCAACTGCGACCGTACCTCATAAAGGCTGATCTGGCCGGGGTGGTCCATGCCTTGGTCAACTCTAGATTGGACTACTGTAATGCGCTCTACATGGGGCTGCCCTTGAAAACGGCTCGGAAATTTCAACTAGTCCAATGGGCGGCGGCCAGGATGTTAACTGGCCAGAGTTGAGAACCCTCCTGTTCAAGGAGCTCCACTGGCTGCCGTTCATTTTCTGGTCCCAGTTCAAGGTGCAGGTGCTCACCTACAAAGCCCTTAACGGTTTGGGACCTGCCTACCTGTGTGACCCCATCTCCGTCTATGAACCCGCACACTCTCTTCGTTCATCTGGAGAGGCCCTGCTCACGATCCCACCTGTGTCGAAAGCATGGCTGGTGGGGACGAGGGACAGGACCTTCTCTGTGGTAGCCCCCCGACTCTGGAACTCCCTCCCCAAGGACATCAGACAAGCCCCTACGTTGGCAGTCTTTAGGAAGAGCTTGAAGACCTTTCCAGAATAGGAAAACCCCAGCAACATGTCCCAAAAGCACTTTATTAGAGATTAAGATTGTCCGCACATTGCAGCTATCCAAAAATCCTTATATATCACTCAGCACACTCAGCACTTTTTAATCTGTACCCATTACATTTGCCCGGCCTAGTTTTTATTGTACCACGGTGTGTTGTTTTTTTGTTTACTGTTATTGCTTTAATGTTTTTGATTTGCTTTGGTTTATGTGTAATTGTTATATTGTTGTTTTATTGTGGCCTTGGCCTTTGTAAGCCGCATCGAGTCCTTCGGGAGATGCTAGCGGGGTACAAATAAAGTTAATAATAATAATAATAATAATAATAATAATAATAATAAAATGTTGGGACGTGTTAGCCAGCCCTGATTGTTTCCTGTCTGGAATTCCCGTTTTCTGAGTGTTCCTCTTTATTTACTGTCCTGATTTTGAAGTTTTTTTAATACTGGTAGTCAGATTTTGATCATTTTCATGGTTTCCTCCTTTCTATTGAAATTTTCCACATGCTTGTGGATTCCAATGGCTTCTCTGTGTAGTCTGACATGGTGGTTGTTAGAGTGGTCCAGCATTTCTGTATTCCCAAACCTGTGCCCAGGTTGGTTCATCAGGTGCTCTGCGATGGCTGACTTCTATGGTTGAGTTAGTCTGCAGTGCCTTTCATGTTCTTTGATTCATGTCTGGGCAATGCTCCTGCATTTGGTGGTCCCTATGTAGACTTCTTGTCCACAGCTGCATGGTATACGGTAGACTCCTGCAGAGGTGAGAGGATCCCTCTTGTCCTTTGCTGAATGTAGCATTTGTTGGATTTTCTTAGTGGCTCTATAGATAGTTTGTAGATTGTTTTTCTTCATCAACAGACTAAGTCAACCAGAGACTAATTCCCTGCAGACTAATGCAACCTGAGCCATAGCAAAGCATTGGGGACTCTATATTATTTGAGAACACAGAAATGCTGGACCACTCTAACGACCACCATGTAAGACTACACAGAGAAACCATGTGGATACTTTCAACTGAAAGGAGGAAACCATGAAAATGAACAAAATCTGGCTACCAGTATTTTTAAAAAACCCTCTAGAATCAGTACAATAAAAAAGAACAACACTCTGAAAACAGGTGTATTCCAGACAGGGCCAGCTAACACCTCCCAACAAAGGATTCCCCCAGGCAGGAAGCAGACAGGTTTTGAAGCTGCAAAACTATTAGATGCTAACCAAGCTGGCCAATGGCAACATTTACACTTGCCTCCAACAGACTAGAATTTTTCTCCCACCTTGAACATCACAGATATATAAACCCCACTTGCCTAGCTTCCAACAGACATAGATGTGAGTGAAACATCAGGAGAGAATGCTTCTGGAACATGGTCATACAGCCCGGAAAAGTCACAGAAACCCAGTGATTCTGGCCATGAAAGCCTTCAACAACACAATTTTGGCACAGTTCATTTATAAGTGATTTCCTCAGATGAAAACTCACTGGTCAAGACTTGGGGG